CACACTGTTTTCCACATTATCGACTTGAAACGGCACGTTACTGTCACGTGCTATGGCGACCATCCCGACAACATTTCGAAACGTAAGGAGTGCTTTGGCAGGAATGGCTCCCTCCTCCTCGTCCTCCTCCCCGTTTCTGCGTCCAGATTTGCCTGCGCGAACATTGGGGATAGGAGAAAGCGGCCCACACAACGAATAAGCCTTCGCATGAGAGGACGCCTCGGGTGTACACCCCCAACCGGAGCAAAACTACATATTCCTCATGCTGTACTCCACAAAAAATCGTTCAACTCTAGACATTCCTCTGAGCGTGAGAGGACAGAACACACAAAGCTTATGCGTTTAGGTCCGTGCACCACCAGTTGTCGTCGACAAAGCATGCCTGGTAGTACGCTGTGCGTGCCTTCATTTTCCCACTTACTGGGGCAAATAAAACAGCTCTCGAGCATGCCGTACCTTCTACTGTACGAACAGGTCGATTTGAAGCGGGCATTCTACATAATACACACAAAGCAGTAATTTTGTTTTGTAACCTTTACGCACACTGCGTTCGACTGCAGCATACTTACCTATACTTTTACTCAATACTCTGTGCCGTCTGCTGTGACTCTCATCGACGACGAATCTACACAATACCAGCATCTCACCGGCTGTGATAGCATTGAGGTCGTCATAGTACGGACATGGCCGGTTCATGTTGCCGTCGTGAGATCGGAGGGCCTGCACCAGGACATGCTTGTCGCCCTCTTTCGACATCCTCGGGATCTTGCGGTGCGCGCATGTCCTCCTCAGCAGATGTGCGGCCCAGAGCGGGTAGTCCTTGCCCCGGGCTTTCTTGGCACTCGCTCCTAGGCTTGCCTTTGTTGAGTTCATGTTCCCTACGGCGCTGCCGCCGGCGCTCGCCTTCCGCTTGCCATGGTTTTTTTTTCTGCCCGCTCCCCCTCCCCCGAATGTTGCTTCCCGTATTTCCTTTGCGAACACGATATCTCCGGACTCGACATCTCCGGACTCGACATCTCCGGACTCCTGTGAGCCTATGTCCGACGGAGCTGTACTCTCCTCTACCGACACATTATTGCTGCTGCCACTTGACATCGGAGCGTCCTTCCCGTTGTCGTCGTCGCTGCTCTCCGATTCGCTCCAATTCTTCCCTGGGTCTTCGCCAAACTGCTTGTCGTCGAGAATCTTTCTTATGGCCACCTGACGAGCTTTAGCACCTTCACCGTCCATGAAGCCCGGCATCAGCCCCGCGCCAGGTGGCACCCCCTGTTGTGTATCGGTATGGGGGGTAACCCTGCTGTGGACGGCCTGGCGGACCATGCCGCTCGGTGCCGGCTGGAGCTGTACGGCGCCAGCAGGCGTGATCTGGGCAACACCATGCCCAGCAGCTGCACCACTTTCACCTCCACCCTGCAGTCGCAGAGGCACCGTTTTCGTTCTTGATGGCCGGCCTGCCACTGCTACGGCGTTGTTGTTCATGGTGTGGGTGTATAACGTCTGTTGTGGGAGTCCTCGGGTCTCTCGCCTGGTCGGGACCGGTGTGTGTACGTCGAGCCGTGGCGCTTTCCGTAATTTTTGAAAAAATACGCGCCTTCGCGCCTTCTGCCGATAAGAACCACTGGAAACCCTAGTTACGGTTCCGTGAAAAAAGTTACTATTCGGTGAAAAAAGTTACGAATTTTTGCGGCCTGATAAGACACACCCTTAACCCATAACCTGTAGTACTACAACCTACAAAGTGTACCTTGCGCGCCTCGGTCTCCCTCCGCGCGGAGAGCGACAGAGGTGGCCAGTGGGCACCGTTGTACGGGGGCGTTGAGTAACCTCCCGCCAACGAGTGGTTATTACATGGGATAACGGGGTGGGGTTACAGGCCGAGCCGGCATAACGGTCATTCCTCTAGCAGCAGGATACTTGCTTTGTCGTCCAACTCAATCACCTTCCCTGTCGGTAGAGAGAAGAAGAGCGCTCGCGGTGTATTTCATCGGGTCTTCCCGCTGAAGCCTGACGTCTTCTTACTACATCGATTGATTGGTTGGCTTTTGGTTGGCTAGTAAGCGTGACCGCTGCTGCTACAGCAGTAGTTCAAGCAAGAAACAAATCGCAATTGAGACACGACAGACAACGCACGCGCGCACACACGGCACATCGCAATGGAGACACAACAGACAACACACGCGCGCACACGCGGCACATCTTAATGGAGACACAACAGACCATTGGTGCTCGGTCTCGCTTTCACAGCGTGACCCGTGCGTCTCGCATATAGACTGCAGCAAGCAGTAGTCCACGGGGTACTGCGCGTGTGTGCATGTTTCCAAACAGAACAATTGTGCTGGGGTACTTCCCGGCCACTATTGATTCAGAGCGGAAGAGTTGATGGCTGCTGTTGTTTCGCAGGGGCGGAAACTGACATGTTTGCGCATACAACGAATTTGCTACACTGATGCCATGTAATTTCTGTTAAAAATAAAGTCTTTCCACTGTGCGCAAAAAAAAAAAACGGAAGACGAAAGATGATCCGCATTTGGCCGTATAATCTCGCCGCGCACATACATGCAGCCGTGGAGTTCGAAGGGGTCAGGAAAGATGTGCACATACATGTGCACCTATCTAATTTGAAAATTGAAGCGATAGTCACACCACGCCCTGTCCTCCGAGATGTCGGCGATGCACAAATCCCTCCCCCTCACTGTCCTGATGACCGTGCGATCTACCCGTACTGTCTCCACCTGCAGCGCTATATGAGCGCAGCGCACAACTCGAGCTCTTCCGTTTCGTGCTCATCTTCTTCCTCGCTGCCAACCAACAGCAGGACAGCTGCGAACAAGAGGCAAAGCTGCTCATGCATCAGTTCTCCGGTGCTCATGGCGCCGTAGCGGCGTTTAAGGTTGACATCCCGGATCGGCCTCCTGGTTCTATCCATGGCTTGTGTAAGGGGGCATGGGGCGGG